GCCCTCTTTCAACTCTGCAAGCGGAGGAGGGCGGCGGAGATTTCTGGGATTGCAGCAGCGAAGGGCGGAGGTGGGGGAAATGCCCCTGTTTCCCCTGCTTATAAAGAGGGACGGGGCGGACATTTCAGCCTTCCAAATAAACAACCTCCCACGATCTCTCCCACGACTCCGTGATTGACGCGTGCAGTTACGGGGGGCGCGGTGGATGCGGAGTTAGATTCGGCATAACCCAGGCTCCACGCGTGCCCGTGCCCTGTTTTGGGCCTGGCCCAACAGCGCTCGGCACCGTGTATGGCCCAGGCCCAGGGGCTCCTGTCGGTGTACTAGAGTAGGGGTACCCTAGTATCCCGAACTTGTGCACGGGCAGTTGCAGCGCCGCGCGGCAAGGCTTGCCGGACGACCGCCAGAGTCCTCCGTGGGTTCCTTTGGAGCCATTCAAGAACAAAGCATTCAAGATGAAGAGACAAGGCCCCAGCAAGAGGAGCTTGCCGGGAAGAGACAAGGCCCCGGCAAGAGGAGCTTGTCGGGAAGGCCAACCATGGCACTTCAAGAAACTTGCCGCGATGCACCGCACGTCCCGGCAAGGTCCGGTGAGCGACAAGCTTCTGGACTCGACAAGACGACGACCCCGACAAGGTACTCGCCGGGGGCCCGCTGCCACTCTGTACCCACGCTCCAGCGCACCCACCCGCGTGTCGCCATGAGGCTTCCTCAGGGGCGCGTGGCGGGAGCCTGTGCAGCCAGGGGTACGCGGTGGCAAGCGGAGATGAAGAGAAGGCCGTCGTGGCAAACGGTGGCGCTCCTAACGGTCACTTTTTGCACTGTTTAGGCAACTCAGACGGGCATTCAATGACCTTGTCCCCTGCCGTCAGAGTTAGGTAGGGTGCACTGTGTCCACAGTAGCGGTAGCTGCACCTACCGCATCCTTTTCCATTTTTACCCTTCTAGTCTACGTTGCCACCTGTCGGTGACCCCTTGAAAGTATAAAAGGAGGCCCAAGAGCAACGTAGAAGGGGTTCGGCTCATTCGAAACATCAGGAACACTATCACGCTCGGTCTGGCAGCGTCCATCGCTCCGGAGCAAGAATTCAATACACACAAACAAGCAGCAGTAGGGTTTTACGCATCCGTGCGGCCCGAAGCTGGGTAAAACTGCTCGCGTGTACTGCCTCGATCCGCTCTTTGTGCGGCCTCCGCCCCCCTCCGAACCGAAAGGGGCCCGGTCCCCGTAGGTGTTGGTGGGTCAGTTTCCCCGACACTCTGCCTCCGACCACAACCCAATGCCTTCGTGGCGCCGGCCCCACTCCAAGACAGCCGCCAGTTGTTGTCATTGCTGGAATCAAGCTCTATCGCTGTCGCCGCCGCCTCACTGATCGCATCTTCGTCCCTCGATCCCCTCTGTCGACTGTCAGCCATATCGAAGCCCCGACGACCACTAGAATCTTGAGCATCGTCTGAACGTCGCCGGCCGACCATGACACCTCCTCCATCCTTCAAGTATTCGTTGGATTGCCTAGGTGAGTTTGTTTGTGCTTTTTCATCTCGTTTTCTTGATGACATTGAATTGAACCTAGTAATTCTAGTGTAGATAGAAAGGTTGAGGGAGATGATCTTCGACGACACTTCAGCGGCAGAGGAGGAGGAAGAAGATGATGACCTTGAAGTCATTGCCATGATCTTCAATGCGGATTTTCGGCGACGCATACTAGGATCACAATTCGTTTGCTGGCACATCAACCGAGTAGACCGGATGGCCATACCTAGATTATAAGATATTACTTCAAACCCAAAGCAACCTACCCACATAAGTTTTTACACCGACAATTTTGGATGCATACAAGTCTCTTCCTCACCATTGAAAAAGATGTGGAGAAGCATGATGATTGGTTTAAGTTAAAGGAGGAGTGCATCAAGGGAGATAAGTGCAAGCCCACTGAGGAAATGTATCACAATTGTTCTTGTGCTTGCGTATCGGTGTTCGGGAGACACCATTGACGACTATGTCCACATCGGGGAGGATGTAATCTTGGAGTCCGTTTGAAGGTACACACGTTTCATGATTGAGATCTTTGAGACAGAGTACTGAGGACACCCACCGATGAAGACACCGAGAGGATATTGTGATTTAGTGAAAAACAAGGTTGGCCTGGGATGTTTGGATCAATTGATTGCACACATTGGACATGAAAGAATTATCGTGCGGGATGGAAAGGTCGGTACAAAGGCCACTGCAAAGATCCATCAATCATTCCTGAGGTTGTTGCATTAGAGGATCTATGGATTTGACATTCATTCTTTGGATTGCCTGGATCTCATAATAACCCGAATGTGCGTTCGAGATCACTATTGTTCTCAAGGCTTGTTGCTAGAGATGCTCCTCCTTACAACTATGTTATCAATGGCCACGAGTTGACGATGGGTTACTAACTTGCAGATGTCATCTATCCTCCATGGGCTTTCTTTGTCAAGATAATCTAGCATCCTCAAGGGAACAAGAGAGCTCGGTTTGCAATGTGTCAAGAGTCGACAAGGAATGATGTGGAGAGAGCTTCCAGTGTGTTTAAGCGCTTTGGCATTATTCAGGGTCTGCCGAGTATTAGACCCCCAAGGTCCTACGACAAATAATAACATGTTGCATCATCTTGCAAAACAAGATCATTGAAGTTGAGAGAGGCGTGCCAAAGAACTTTCGGTACATCTCCAATGGTAACCATGTTCAGCCGGAGCACGATGCAAACATGATACAAAGATTCCTCGCAGTGCATCGAAGCATCGAGAACGGAGAAGTTCATACCCAGCTCCAAGATTATCTTGTTGAGTACGAGTGGCTACTCCACAACACTTCATAGTTGTGCTTTTATCATGCTCTTTACTTCATTTGAACCCTTCCGTGTGTTTGACTTTGAATAATTTGGTTTGTAAACTTTGAATTTGTAATACCGTGAATTGTGTGAACCTTAATTATTACGATTTAGGGTTAATTGGATAAATGCCACTTGAATTCTGGCGTTTCCGAGAAATGCCACTGCAATTTCCAAACTTTGAAAAATGCAACTGTAAATTTTGTAAACTTTGAAAAACGCCAGTCCTAACTTTGAAAAATGCCACTGGAAATTGCATTCTCCAAAGTTTGGAAATTGCAGTGGCGTTTCTTGGAATCGCCAGAATTCGAGTGACATTTATTCAATATTTACCCTTGGATTTAATATGTGTGCAAATATGTAGTTGAAATGTAGTATGTAAACTAAAACTAGGAAATTTTGTGGAAAAGAATTAGGGAGTTAAGTTTAGGGGTTTGACTAGGTACCACTTTTATTTAGCGGACTAAATGTAATGAGTTAAAGGATAAGAGGGCGTTTGAGACGCTAACTTATAAGGGATCAGTTAGAAATGCTCTAAGGCTCTGCTAAACACGTGACACAAACCACTACATGTAATTTTTATTATTTTGTCCCCACAAAAGGTAGAATTTCATTACTTTCGTAGTGTTGCTTAAATTCCATATTTTTCAAGAACAAGTGTTGTGAAAATACTAACTAATGTCCTATTAAATTTTGTGACCACATGTCTTGCTTCTAGACATCATTATACTTTGGTTCTGGTGAACATACATTGCATTTTTTTAGCAAAGATGGACATATTTTGCAAGGAAGTAAATGGTTTTTTAGGGGCACAACCAAGTAAAGAGTGTGCTCACGCCCACATACTGGATGCCAAATCACAACTGGCCCATGGAAAATCGAACAATAGTACTCAGCCCACAAGAAATAAGCCCACAAAAAAACGAACAATAGCGCTCAGCCCACGAACTGAGAAGCAAAGACTCTCGGCATGTTGGTACACGGCTAACTTTGCCACAACTAATCTTATGCAAATTCTGGCCACCCCAAAAAGTGGTGAACAAAATAACCACCACAAACGTGGCATAATTTGGCAAAAGACTGTAATTATGACATGTGGACTATGTAGCTAAAAAACTATGGCAAGCAACAAATATTGCAATGAACCAAACACATGACTAAGTTGTTGTGGCATGACTAAGCTTAGGCGTGACAACATTAGGCTACCAAACATGACTAACTCTGTTAACGAGTTAACAACAAGAATAGAAAAATTAAAAATTGGACTGACGGCTAATTAATACTCCCTTCATCCCATAATATATGAGAGTTTTTTTACACTAGTGATATAAGAGCGTTTTTTACAACCAACGAAAAACGGTGCGGCAAGACGCATGTATGCTCGTAGCACTTGACCAAGCCGGAATTCCAGAGTTATGATGAACGTATCTGACCGAGACATGTGCTGCTATATTTTTAAAAATCACAAGCGTTAAAGTCTAAAATCGACGAGGCAAATATCTATGTGGAAGAACACTGTGTCTAGTTTACCATCTGTCACAAATTATATTTATTAGTACTCCCTCCGTTCCTAAATGTAAGTCTTTGTAGAGATTCCACTATAAACCGCATACATACAGATACATTTTAAGTTTAGATTTATTCAGTTTGCTTCGTATGTAGTCCACCTAGTGAAATCTCTATAAAAGACTTATATTTAAGAACGGATGGAGTACTATATATGCACGAATAGCATAATAGTCATAGAAAATTTTGATGGCATACATGAGCAATCCATACATAGAAACATCCGCAAGTTTTAGATAAGGAAGCTTTTATTAAGCTCTGATCATTACATCAGGACGATACAATCATGCTGAGATCAGTTTCGGCCTCTGCATATAACCATAATGCATAGTACAACCCATAAACATCCGAGGTGAAAGTAAACCAATACGTGTACATGCACTCGAGCAAACATCAAATTAAAGCTAGTACTCCCTCTGTTTTTAAATATAAGTCTTTTAAAAGATTCCATTATAGACTACATACGGAGCAGCAGTGAACCTATACTCTAAAAGACGTCCATATTCATTTGAATGTAGTTTCTATAGTGGAATGTCTAAAAAAACTTATATTTAGAAATGAAGGGACTAACATTCATGGCCCGAAATAGAGGTGATCCAGAAGCTTGGGCTCAGGGATAGCGTGGAGGTGGTGCATGCGAGACACGGATATGCCAAACTTCTCCTCCATGCTCAGCTCCTCAGCCGCCACGCCATCGGGGAGTCTCCACGCATAGCCGTGCAGTAAGTTTGCCAGCACCAGCTGAACCATCTTGAGCCCGAGGCCGTGGGCTGGGCACATCCTGCGACCAGCACCAAAAGGTAGCAGTTCCAGGTCGTGGCCCTTGACATCCACCTTGCTCCCAAGGAACCGCTCCGGCTGAAATTCCGCGGCCGTCTCCCCCCACACAGTCGGGTCCCGGCCGATAGCCCAGACGTTGACGAGCACGCGTGTGCCCACCGGGATCTCATAGCCTGCTACGGACGTGTGCTCACGAGACACCCGCGGTATGAGAAGGGGTACCACAGGGTGGAGCCGCATGGTCTCCTTCACGACGGCTTCTAGGTACGGGAGGCTGGAGATGTCACCCTCGGCGACTAGGCGGTCGCGGCCGACCACACGGTCCAGCTCCTCGGTGACCTTCGCGAGGACGCGGGGCTTCCTCAGGAGCTCGGACATGGCCCACTCCACGGTCACGGCCGAGGTGTCCGTGGCGCCGGCGATGACCTCCTGCATGGGTGCAAGTTGTATTGATATGATATTTTATAGGAGGAAGAAAAGCAAGTTCAAATAATTATTCTGTGAGCTTCAAAAAAAATTATATTGTGCGACTTTAACTAACGAATGATACCTACCGGTAGATCTGGCACCGAGATTCCACTCAGCATCAAGATCCATGCATTGATTTAAGGCATAAGGGCGTCTTCACAGTGGACCCTAAAACCACCCGCACGATCTGAAAGTATTTTGTCATCCACAATGGCGGAGCTTGAGAAAAATTCAAGAGGGGGCCATTAGTCAAAAGGAACCAAGTTAATAGGGAAGGAGGGGCTAATTTGTAGTTTAAACACTAATTAGGCTCATTATGTAGCTTGTTCTTCAATGGATGCAAAAACTAAGGGGGGGCCATGGCCCCTGTTGGTCTCCACTAAGCTCCGCCACTGGTCATCCAACACGGGCCTAGAGGTCCGGGTAGCAGCCACGTAGGGCTTCGACACATCCAACTCATCCAAAACCCTACCCAAAACCCCTCCCGGATCCCGTGCCTCCATCATTCCATCTTTCTCTGCATCTGTTTTCACTCTTGCCGCCGCCGCTCCACCACCCTAGCCGCCCCGCCCTATCCTTCCCAGAACTCCATGACTCCGTCACCTCCACCGCAATACCTGGACGCGACATCACTTTCCCTTCGCCGCTGGTCCACACCTCTACTTCGTCCGCCGCACAAGTACCATCCGCCCCACTGTAGTCACCGTGTCCAGCAAGTGTTCAGTAAAGTGTTTGTGCTAATTTTTTTGCCATTTGTTTTTTGAAGCAATGGTATTGTATATGGAGTACATATACGAGCACTATGTTGAGTCATCCGACTAGAAGGACTACACTGATGAGACGATGATGATGTAGGCGGTTCTTGCACACGCGAAACTAGTGGCAGAGCATGTCTCAATTTCAATGGATCGATCAAGGGTCATCGAGTGCTCAAACACAACAGGGCGCTCGACCATTTGACACTGACGGATGACTACTTTGCCCCTGATGTTCTATTTGCTGACAATTTTTGTCAGCGCTTTCGGATGCGAAAAAAATATCTTCTATCGTCTTTACCATGGCGTCCGGTCCTTTGATGACTACTTTATCTTGAAGAAGGATGTCGTACGAAGCTCTTCGCTTACCAGAAGTGCACGACACTGCGGATCCTTGCATATGGCACGGCAGCTGATTCATGAGACGAATACCTACATACGTCTGAAAGCACATGTGGAGATGCCATGGTAAGATTGCTACTATCGTGGTCTCTGTGTTTAGATCTTAGTACCTGAGAGAACTAACCATCGCAGACACCTAAATGGTCTTGGAAAAGTTACAAGCAAGAGTGTGGCCAGGTTTACTCAGATCTCTTGAATGCATGCACTGGAGATGAAAGAACTGCTCAAAAGTTCTACAAGGCCAATATCATGGTCATGTTAACAAGACCACCATCATTCTTGAAGCAGTTGCATCAAAAGATCTTTGGATTTTACATGTTTCTTTGGCAATGCCCGGTTCTCATAATAAAATCAATATGCTGCAGCAATCACCATTGTTTGCTAGGCTAACTAAAGGAAAAACTCCTCCTTGCCATTTTACTGTCAATGGGCATGAATACAACATGTGCTATTATCTGGTCGACGGTATATATTCTCCATGGGCTATCTTTGTCAAGACCATCTCTAGCTAGTTGGTTAAAAAATGTCTCACTTTGCCCAGAAATAAGAAGTAGCTAGAAAGGATGTTGAGAAGGCATTTGGAGTTCTGCAGGCTTGTTTTGCAGTTGTTCGTGGACCTACTAAACAATGGGATCCGTAGACCTTGTGGGAGGTGATGGCATGTGTGTAAGCATGCATAACATGATCGTAGAGGATGAGGGTGAAGATGTTGTTGCATGTTTGGAATCTGAGAACATGGGTGAGCCTATTGAACTTTTAGAGCAGAATCCGACCACATTTGATGAGATTGTTAAAATGCATAAACAAATTTGACATCGAGCAATTCATGACCACCTAAAGGAAGATTTGATTGAGCATATGTGGGCGGTTATAGCGGACAACTAGTAATATGTGTTAGTTAGATTCAAGTTTGAACTACTATAATTTGAATATTTTGTTGGATTGTAATATTTAAATTAGAACTGTTGTTGCATTTGAATATATTAACAATTCTGAGCTAAACTAAAACTAGATATGCGACTTCTTTGAGCGTGCAGACTGGAAAAAAAATTGCGGGCGGATATATACAGCTAGCTTTGCATGACCGACTCTCGCATTAGTGTTCGGGAACTGATCCCCTGTCCACAAACGGATGCGGTAAGCTTCATGGGGGCCAACCTGGGCCATGCCCCCCAAGCTCACAATAGAACAGTCCTATATAACTTTGTACAGTATTAGGCCTATTTTCCACACAAAAATCAGCTGAAAATAATTATGTTCGCCCCCCTCAAGCCCATGTCCCCCTTGTTTTGGCTCAAGCTCTGCCACTGGGTGTCCGGTTTGGATGTCAACGTTGGAGATGTCCTAAAAGAGTGCAACATTTTGTTCCATGGGCAGATTTTGTCAGGATGTCACGGACAGCACGAGAGTGGAGAGATGGGTGGGTGGTTG